ATCTGAGAGATCTCTATAAAATTGTTCATGCATGCTTGGTATTATATTTTAAATAACGAGATACAAAATTCAATGTAGTAAATTTCAAAATTACAGAGGCACCAAGTTAAAAAATAAAAAATACATAACATTTACTGTTGCTGAGTTCGAGTGGAAAACTCGGAGTAGAGCTAGAGCAGGAGTAAATTTTGGTGACGTGACATCGGAGTTAAAAGAGTTAATTGTATTAATTTGAAAGCCACTTCTGTTTGGGAGTTTGGAAATAATCATAACCCTATTTTTGCGTTTGCATTTGAAGGAAATTATTTAATGTAGATTGTAAAATTTGCAATAGAAAATGGTTCTGACGATGACGAGGGAAAAAATGTATGATTATGCTGAAAACACATTACCATGCCAATATGAATATTATGATCAATTTGTATTTAATTTTTCTCTGAAACCAGCAACTTTTGATATTCTTTTTAATATAGAAATATTATCTTCAATAAGCAATATTTTATCTTTATAAACCTTTGGTATTATCGGTCGATTATATTTTTATTATTTTTGCACTACATACTCGTATATGTTTTCAAATTAAAATCCCATGTATATACAAACACACTATTAGAAACAAAAATAAAATTTTAAAGTGTTTGTTATATCCCTAAATGTGTTTTAAAAAATTAAACAAAAGTATGACTTCACCCGAAGATGAGGTTTTAACTCGGAAACAAAAGTAATGATGAAATAAAAATATAATCGACCGATACGATACTACCAAAGACGTTTTATTTGTTTGTAAAAATTCTACTACGATCAAGAAATCATACTATTTCTCAATATTTTCGTTTCCTTGCATAACAGCAGCATTGTGAGCTGACGCAAATATTTCCATAATTATTACAAATTGGAAAGCAACATTAAATTTTTACCCACACATTCACAACATGGAGGAAAAGAAAAGATAAATCAGAGATAAATATCCACAAATCGCAAAACAACGAACGGGTATTGATTACTGCGCAAGCTTGCTTCAGAGTCATGCCTCGCCGAGGTGGTGCAGAATAATTAACTCCATGTACTTTGATCCAACTAATTTGAACGTAATAGAGTTAACGCGGGTCTTTTAACGAGTGTGATAGAGCTTTTCCGCGTATGCAGGGTGTGCTGCCCGAACTCAGCATATGTATTCAGCCAGTATACACTTATAGAAAAATAAAAATACAAAATAGTACCAGAGACAACAGAGACGTGTAACTTAATAGGAAAATATGTTCGGTGGTCCATTTAAATTACATATATGACCCTCTTTTTCTTTTACATTGATCTTTACATATGTCTATCTCTCTCCAATAAAACTAACACCATTTTCAGAGGGCGCTGGTGTTGCTGGTTTTTTGACGTCGAAATATCGATTAAAAGTATTAAAACTGACAACTGACAATGTTATGAATGTTGTTATGAACATGTGCATTTTATTAAAATTAATTTAATTTGGGCCCCGTATATTTCTTTTAGTCTGATTTTGTTGTTTAATTATTTTTCTTTGGGGGGGGGGGGGAATGTTTATTTTTGTATATTATTTTTTGCATGAAGCAATTTCTGGAACCAAACTCGCGTTTTTGTATACATTTCTTTCTAGAGGTAAGTAATTTCCAATTTATTATGTATATGTGTATAATGTGTGTGTTTAATAATATATTACACAATGACTATAATTATTTTAGGTGAATTGGAACAGAGATCCATTGTTACAGCTACTTGTGTTCATTAAGTAGGTAGATGAATGTCTGGACAGCTTTAATGGCAGCACAAAGTTCCTATCTACTAGAAAAGTTAAATGTATGCTGAGTAAAAAATCTGCACATGTAGTATTGGCAAAGGACTTTTGAAATGATTAGAGATTAGCTATTTCTTACATACACCTACCTCTACCCAGAAAACACACCGAATCCCAAAGATATCCACAAAATATCTTTTGTGGATATCCAATATATCCACAGGATATCAGAAATATTCCGTGGATCTAATATGGATATCCAAATGTCCGTCTATATCCAGAATATAGAAGATATCCTATGGATATTCAGCAAAATATCTAATTAGTATCTTCCAGACAATACAAGAAATCCCAGAGATATCCACAGAATATATTTTGTGGATATCCAATATGGATATCCAACCAAATGTCCGTCTATATCCCAGGATATAAAATTCAGATATTCAGCAAAATATTTTATAGGTATCTTTAGTAGACATTCATAAGTAACCAAATGATTATTGAATAACGTCAAAAGAAAATAGAGATAAAAAAAATTTCCAACAATCTGCCTTTGAGTTTGCCCACTAAGGAAAAAGTCATCCTTATTAGGACTCTTCAGCAATAAATGGAAATTCTCGACTCCAGTCTCTAATAGAGTCTTAAAGCGAAAAATTTTTCGATCAACTCAATTATGGCGGGTTGAGCATGAGTAGATACGAAAGTGGTATCGCCATCTATACTTAGGAAGCAAAATCAAAAATTACATCTAGTAGATATCCACGATGGTTTGCGTCCGCGCTAAGACTTTGATATATATGGATGTCCATGGGATATTGAATACACCTTAAAAAAATTAATTTTAAATATCTGAACGGTACTATTAGCCACAATGGCGAGCACAATGGCGTAATTTTTTAATAATTTGCTATATAATTACTATTATTTATGGACATTTGCATGTCTATAAATTACATTTTATGGATATAAAATAGATATCCACCATGGACTGGACATTCAGTGGATATTGGGATGTTCAGTAGATATCCAAAGGATTTGGTGTGCTGTCTGGGTAACAGCCACTCTAAAGGAAGAAAAAAAAATTGAATCACAAAACGGCAGAATTTTAAATCAGGATGCATTGGAAAATAAATTTGGGGACATCAGGTCGGTTTTGGATTTTATAGAGAGATCAATCTCAAGAAAAGTTAATTTATCCTGCAGAACAACCAGTAGTTTAAGTAGGATTTGCTATAACTTTATTAGAAATTTTCTTTGATAATAAATTGTAATATAGGTACCAATTATTGTTTCAAATGAAATTGAAAAAGAGTTAAATATGAAATTAGATTTTTCATGAGTAAAATGTTATATTCATTCGAACATTGTAAGGTAATCTATAATTAAGGGAATATGGAAAATAGGTATACCCTGGTGGTGTTAGAGAAAGGTAAGGGGCAATGACAAAAAAATTACCAAAATGTATTTATCTTTAAATAGTGTTTATTATTAATAATATTATTTGCTATGTTTGAAAAGTACCTCCTGCTGCAGAACAGATCGAATAGATTAGACTACTAGTTGGAGAAGGTCCACCTAGTAACCAAATTAGGAGACTAGGAAAACTTTTACATGACTGGGGACACAACAGGAATGCACACACACAAGATACACAAACAAACAAAATAACAGGGGTAAGCCTTCAGCAACGTCCTGTTTAAATGATAGTATGTCATCCTTCATTCCATTTTAGAAGGCATGACATATAAATCTATTGATCTTGATTACCCTAAGAAGAGTTAGCAGGGGGTGTACGGAATGGGTCTAGCAGGTTTCGATCCAGTTTACAGGATGGGAACTCGACTCAGGCCTTATACATTTGTGTTGAGTGTATGTGTGTTTGTTTCATTTCCATGGTTTCTATTAAAATAAACCATAATAATAAAACATAAGCGACATTTGTTCAAATGGCACTTATGATAGTCTGGCAAAAAGGTATCGATATACTCTATGCTTTATAAAATATTTGTTACATTAGTTTTTAAATATATTATGAATATATAACAACTGTTACTTTCTTTGTAATTTGTCACAAAATGATAGGAGGTACTTTCTAAACATAGCAATTGTAGTTTGTTTTTCTGTACCTTAAAAAAATATAATTTATAGAAAAAGAGTTTGGTGTATTATTTTTCCAAGTTTAAATATTTAATAATCAATAGAATTTTCAAGTTTTTTTTAGCGAAATTTACAAGAGTAATAAAAACTATGTTCACTGCTTATATTAAACTGATTAAAACTTCCTTTATTAAAATGATTATTTATATGATAAAAAATTTGATGATATTGGAAGCTTTTATATTTTTTAATAAACAGTGAAACAGTTTTTGTTTCTCTTGTAAATTTGTTGTATACAAAAACGATTTCTGAATCCATGTTTGAATTTCCCGCCCTAAAGCATTTTTAATTTTCCCGCTATTTACTAGTGGCGCCATCATAGACTGGTTGTGGTTACAATCGCCCAAATAAGTTTTACCGAACAAAAAAAATACATTGAGTTACACGTCTCGCTGGATTGTCTCTGATAGTACGTATTTCTTCTTTTTTAAACTATATTTCGCCTTTGTTTTCAAGAAATTCAGCCAAATTATTTTATTTAATTTCGCCCATAAGCAATACACATTCACTTTTGAAAAATGTGTTTGAAGAAGTCTACTTTTTCAGACCAGAGTGTCTAGGTACTCGCTAACTTGTACGCAATTCAAAAAGTTATATACACGCGAAACGTCTTGTCAGAGTAGGTGAGCTGTGTGCAGGCCGTTGGTGTTAATGCCGGTCCGCGTAACTAGGTATGGATTAAAACGAGTAGTCGTTGCTTCGTTTTCTTGTTGTCATGGCATTATTATTATTATTTGTTCATGTATGTAAAATTTGCTTCTAAGGTTTATAAAATACTACTACTCCCACCACAGCAATATGACGTTTCGCGTGTATATAATTTTTTGATTTGTGGTCACTTTAACGTGTACCTAGCAACAGCGTTTTCAGACTAGTCCGCCAGACTTATCTGTGGACTTTTTCAATCGACCCATTACTATTATTTCAGAAAAACAATTTACTATTATTTAATTAAAATACAAGATACCACAGAACATTTTTTAAACTAATAGCCTAACATCTTCAAAGAATTTTTTATTCTGTTTTTCAGATTACAATCGTTTGGTTTTCTTTCACAAAAAATATTTTTAAATTTTAGTTTGGAACTGTTTACCAAAGGAAGATAAAGCGACAAGCAAGAAAAATAAAAGTACTGGAACAAAAAAAAATAATTTCAAAAAACCAATCTTAAACAAGAAAAAATTATCATATTCGATAGCAACAAATTCTGCAATTTCAAGAAATTCTGCAGTTCCAGAACATTCTACAATTCCAGAACATTCTTCAATTCCAGAAAATTCTTCTGATTTTCCCGAAGGAGTCATAAATCCTGTATTTAACAATGAAGAAAATCGTGCTGCTAGCGAAATGTATACAAATCTTAGGTTAGTCTACAAAAGTATTTATTAGAGTATCTTCCATTAGAAAAAAGTACAGCTATAGCTGCGTCACAGTGGTATGCGCAGTTGAATAAAAATAAAAGCGCGGGAGCCTAGGTCCCAGATTGTCATAAACTGTTGTGTAATCTTTTTAAGTCTTCCAGGATAATTTAATTAATTTTTGCCACATATTCGTTGGTTTTGACCTTCGAAGGATGTCCAGAGTGAGGATTTTCATCAATTGACATTTATCCACAATATACAGAGTGTAACAAAATATTGAAAATAAGCTGATTTAATCTAACTTGCTTACTACTAAATAAACAGTCACATTTTTTTACTATTTTATAACTTTATTTACAATTGTAAATATCGATCACTATAAAGTAGTAAAAAATCGTGAACAAATATTGTATTATTGTATTAACATCAACCCTTTGTCGGTAATGCAGTTACCCGTAATATTATATTTAATTAGAAACTTGGCGGACTTTTTTAAACGAGAATTTACTTTGACAATTATTTTCTAACTAATACGAAATATAGCCATCCAAAATTTTGATAGTACTTTTTTCAATTTTAGTGAAAGAAAAAACATGTACGTGTAGGTAAATATGTTCCTCTAAATAGAAAAATTTTGTTTTTATAAAGATTTCAAAAATTGAGAAAATAATTAAATCAAATTTCGGAATAGTGGCTCCAGAAAAACGGATATTTCACTTTGACCTGATGGTACATATTTTTCATTCACTAAAAAGTAAAATTAAACTATAGAAATATTTATGGCTCTAGTTCGTATTGTTTAGAAAAAGATAATTCCTTGAGTAAAGTTTTCGCCTAATTATATTTAAAATTAGCTGTTTGTAACAATTATGAAATGCGAATAAAAAAGCAAAATTCTATGACAAATAATTATGAGGGATAAAATAAATATACAAAGTTTTATATAATTAGGTATATTTACTAAAAATTCTAAAAAAAAAAAAAAATAAAAAAGATGGCAATACAAAAATGATTTTTTCCTACACATCACCCCCCATACAAGCGGAGCTTGTGCGAAGCACGAATGGCTATTATTATTATTATTATTATTATTATTATTATTATTATTTACTATGTATGGTGCTCTCGGACGTCTTACAAATGACTCTTTAAGAAAATTATTTTAATATCACAAACATTACATTACTATTTAAGTACGTTAAATATCTTTGGTTAAAAAAATGAAAATCATAAATTGCACAATAAATAATTAATTTACTTGATTTGAAAACTAAGGCCTAAATAAATTTTCAAACTAAAAAACAAAACAATAAATTCTTGAATCTTGGGAAATAAGACAAAAGCAATCATCCATATAAACTGAAACAGAAAAAATCAAATGCAGTAACTTCAAATAATTTTGTTTGTCTTTTAGACATTGCTGCAGCCCCCATACTACCATTATAATACTTTCTTATTATTAATGGTAGACAAGTTTTAACTAAATGAGAAAAGACGTCTATTTTACGTTTTTTACATGTAAAGCAGAGGTGGCTCGACTCCTAGTCTACAAGGAGGCTGGCACACCCTATATAATTTATACAAATATATATTTCTATTAGAATGTATTATTTCTGCTTTTTGTATTTGTATTAAGTATATTTTTCAAAAGTAGCCTTCATAGCCTCCTATAGCTTCTGATGTAAACCATTTAAAATCAATATGGTCTGGCAAACAAAGTTTAATTTTCTGAATTATGTTGTCAATATGACCCAAAAGTGGAATTTTTGAAAATTTCATGGAAAATTATGAAAACGACAGTCGCGTGAAATTGCATAAATACTAAAAAAAAGACATTGTAAAATTGAAAACTGCAAATTTACCTGTGGCTAATGAATATAAACGTTACGGTCTCAAAGAGAAATATAAAAAAAGTAGAAGCAATGAAAAAAGATAAAGTTCATAATGATATTACTCACATTACATACAATCTCTACATTCTAATTTGGAATTTATTTGTATTATCTACGTCTAGGTTCGACAAAAATCGACTTTTATGGCGTACCCAACAAAATGGGCGGATATATTAGCTAGTTAAGAATAGAAATCGACCTGTTTCATGTTTTTTTCCAAAAGTACATAACGCTAAAAATGAACTAATTCTATACGACATATCCCATGTAGCAATGAATATTGGCCTGATATAGAAAGTCAATATTGCTCCAAGATTACAATGTTTGCTTGACAAACTATTTTAATATTAGCTCCGCATCAAAGTGCTAACACCTGAAAAAAGAGGGCCAACGTTATATTAAAACATTAATTCAAAATATTTTTTCGATAAAATGCCAATTTAAGTAAATAGAATTGGATGGAGATTAACGTGTATATTGAATACAATATAGAAAATATGCCGCACGACAAACAAAACTCAATATTGAGTTTCATCATTGGTCCTATATTTGTGTTTAATTTTGCACCTACATTGTTCTACAATATTGGTTTAAGTTATGCTTTCATTCTAAAAGCAATGTTAGGTTAAAAATGTATTTAAATATATTGGCTGCGGACCAAAGAGCTAACGCTTGAAAAACAAGGGCCAACGTTGTATTGAAACATTTATCCAATATCCAGTAAATCGCCAATATAGATAAACATTGTGGAGCTTATATTAAAGTGTAGATTGGGTACAATATAGAAATTATAATGTAGTACAAACAAAATTCAATACTATTTTTCAATATTGATCCCATTTTACGCCATCATTATCATACAATATTGACTTTCAATTTAAAACCAATATCGGCTAATTTATGTACAACAGGATAGGTCCAATTTTACTATTATTAGTTTATATTGTCATAATATATTGGCATGAAATAAATACTGGAATCTAGTTTGAAACCCATTTTGGCATTTAGTTTAATACGCTATTTTTATATGTTTGTTTATGTTGATCCCAGAAGCCCTTATTTCCTTATTTTACTGGGCTATACAGCTTTTAAAAGCCATTTTTAAATATTTCAATGATTGCATATGGACGTGAATATTATAAGGGTTATAATAATAAAGCAATTATAAAACTTTATAAAAAAAGTTTAATATTACTTAAAAAAATGGACCAATACATATTAATATTACAATAACATTAGGCAAAACAAGAAGTTAAAATTAAGAATTAAAATTTTTTTATGCAAAATACATGTGATGAAAGATGGGAAGAACTCAAAATTTAGAAAATTAGACCACGATGGACTCATTATTTTCAAGATTAAATATCAATTATTTTGCATTAATTTCTTTAACAGAAACCCTTTCCAATGTTTGTATGTGATGACATGAACTTTAAAATACCCAAATTTCTTGAGTCAATTGCCAACTCATCAGTGAAATAATTTATAGGATTTTCATAGCAATGGCCTTCTAGAAAAACATTACTTTCAGTTTGTATGGCTTGGGCAATTTTCATTTTTTTTATTTTTTAGAACAATGTTATCAATGTTCTGTTATTAGGACAATTATTATTTAAAAGAATATCTGAATTAACAGAGTTGTCAGTTATAATATGTTCATTAGAAAATATTGATACATTTGATATATTTTTTTTATGACATACTGACATTCCTATTGATCTGTACCTTGTTCACTGAAACATATTGACGTACTTGTATTTGAAATTTCAGGCGAAGTAAGAGGATTATCACTGGATATTTCAGAAAGATCCGCTAAGTGCTGTTTGACCCCCCCCCCCCCCCTGTTCTTCGGCACTTAACTTAACTGCACGATGCGATGGCATCACTGTCTGGAATTTTTGAGTTCTTAAATTGATATTTTTTTAGTCAAAGTTATTTGAGTTTAACCTTATTTATGTGAATAAACTACGTATTAAGTACAAAAAAATACAAATTGTTTTTATTTTCTGTATAGGAAATTTTTCACATAAAAGTTGCTTGTAATGTCTTTCTCTATAATTTTTGTTCTATACATAATTTCCCTAAAATGGACCGTATTCCAGAAATTGTACAAAAAGTGTAAAATTAAAATTTTTAAGAAAATTGTTGTGACGTAATTTTCTATAATTTTTGTTCCATACATGATTTTCCTAAAATGGTCCGTATTCGAGAAATTTGAAGAAAAGTGTAAAAAGACAAGCATATGACACATCAGATTTTTAGAATTACATTTTAGGTTTAGAAACAGATAAAATAAAAAAAAGATTTAAAAAATATCTATAGTAATTTCATCAAAATTGGAAAATATGTTTGTTATGAATCCTAGATGATTATGTAAATCCACCAGAGATTCATGGAAAAATCCGAAAGTGGCATCACCGTCCTAAATATTACCATAGGGTACCTAGGTATGTATTTTCTGATTATACCTACTTTAATCTTTATAAATTTATTAAGGTTCACGGTTCGAATGAATATTGGTCCAAGACAATCATGACATTGGCCTAATATTGGCAATCATTTCGAAATGCAGTCGATTAATTCGGTTGTTTGTTAAACAAAAAACATTTATACTTACAATTTTTCTTTTAATCCAAAATCCAGATGAAGAGGCACTTCTCAATAATTCAGAAAACTCTTTAAACAAAAAAAAAAACAAAAAATTAGCTACCCTTAAATTTAAAAGAAAATGTGTGGAAAAATAAAGCTTTAACGGTAATCCGGCATTTTACATCATGACGTGTTACATAGTTCAATTAATAGGAAAAAGACTACATCAGTTGTTATGTGAGAGGTTTTTAAAAATGTTTAAACAAAATAACTTTTATCTTAAAAATATTATTTCTTTAAACAATTATTCAATAAAAAAAATGTATGTGCCAGTTATTCACGGTCATGGAGGCGCATGCACAACCCGAGACAATAGTCTATTCCTACACACTACAGTGTTGCCAGAATATTTTTCTGTTATGTAAGTGTTTTACCAGTGACAGTCTGATTATATTCATATAAGAGCAAAAAAAAACAGTGTAGCTTATAGGTACACTTATAGAACCTCAGCCAAATGAAGGC